CTCTATTCTTTGAAACCAACGCGAAATTTCTAGCTCGAAAAATGACGTAGATATCTTGGACGTATGAAACCATACTTTTTCACCACCAATTTAAGAATAACACTGAGAAAACAAGTAATAAAAGGCGAAATTTATTAGAATCGCTAAGTTACCTCAAGGTACACATTGTCTGAAATGTGCATCAAGATTGACTGTTTCTAGACGAAAATAGGTTTCTGAGTGGGGAGGGATCCCTTAAGAGTAGTATTCTGTATACATACATTCCTCTTGTATATATTGTCTTTATATTCTTTTTGTTGTCTGTCTACTAATTAATCTGGGTATCAAAAATATTGATACCCATCAGTTTTACCTCTTATGTATGATGTAAGCAATCGATATGATTATTATTATTGTTGTCTACCTGTAATAAATGTAAAGAAAGAAGAGATAATCTTCTGTTTTATTGTAAACGTATAGAAACGGAAAAACATTCTTTTATTGATGATGATAGAGCGTGGAAAATATCATTAATCAAATACAAGAGGATTTATTATTATTATATTGTTATATTGTGGTTAGAAGCCTGATCGTATTATTTATTTCATTCATTCTTTTTGTTTATACGGATAAAACTCGGTGACAAAACATCGTTCCCTTTTCAAAAAGCCCTGAAAATCACTGAATTTTGTAAAACGTTAGTCTACATGAAATTTTCAGCAAGTGTTAGTCAAGTCAAGATTCGATTATTGTAAAAATTTCAAGTTCACATCTCACGTTTTCTCAGAGAAAACGTCTTAAAAGAGCGAGAAAAGCGTATGTGTCCGTAATTCCAAGATTTCTCAGTCAAATTTAATGGATTTGACTACCCAACCATTCGAAAAGGAGATTTAATAGCTAAAAAATCCAAGTACTTTACGTGTTTCTCTTCAAAATCTAATTTTTATGCACTATAAATATTATATTTAGAAGCAGCGTAAATCGGGAAACACCAATTTGGACTTTTGAAAGACCATAAGCAGTAGCCTGTAATAGAATGTTTTGGATCTTACAGTAACTCTTCTTTGGCGAGAAAGGCAATCAAAAATAGGCAAAATGCGATTTGAGATGTCAGTGGTGGTTGATGTTAGAAAATATTAAAATGATTATCGCAATTCATAATGTCCGATTAGAAAAAGCCAGCAAACATGAAGAAAGGATATTTAAATTATAACTATAAAAATCTAGTCATTATTACTAAGTTTGTTGTTCAAATCTGATTTTTGTTTATCGACGCCTCCATCACGTAGAAATAGTTTGAAGCTGTTATTATGTTGTGTCACACTTTTCTTTTCGAAGTGAGTGAATTAGTCACATGTGTATTTAAAGACAAGAGACAGTTGTTTTTGTAGTGGTGGTAATTAGAGATGAACCGGATTTGTCCTGCAAATAATGTTTTTTGGAGATGCATTCCTTTCCAATTAAGCGTCACCTACATATGACATCATCAATTTACGATGGAAGGGGAGAGACTAATGAAGACCCTTATAGATCTGTCAGTCAAGGACACCTTTGGGGAGGATACTTGATGCGGGCTCTACTTCCTTTTGAAACTTTTATTCGATTTCTCCTTGCAAAGTCGGAGAGAAATAGATTCATACAACCCGTATAGTAACGACTATGTTAAACAGTTAGTTCTTCCAAATTTTCAACCTTTCTTTAAAAAATCCTGGATGTGCCACTACTGTGCGCCACGATCACGAATAAAAGGTGTTATACTCGCGTAATTAGAAAGAATCCCCATGGAAGAACAGTTAAGAAGCCAAAATAAATGATTACAGAAGATCGAATAAGCCAATTACCCGTCAACTGCAGAGACCATAAAAGTCGCTTAGAGACAACGAGCAAGCTGAAAACTGACCAACAGTCAAAAGTGTCCTTGAAATTATAAACTTCACCAAATAGCTGGCTAACATTTCGGCAAAACTTCAGTTTTTTCCAACTGAAACATAGTTGGAAACTTTTTAGTTGCAAAATATCCCAGAACGACATCTTGGTTACAAATCATAACCAACCTGTAACTCAAAGATCGTGATTCACGTGAAGCTCTATTATCAGATCTCTGTTCAAAGATCTCCTGAGTTATAACTTTTGAGTTATAATCAATCAACTTTTTGATCGAAATTTCTGTATGAGATTATTTGTTTTCTCCCTCTCTCTCTTTTCCCTGGACATTTCTATTTCTTTCGTTTCTTTCTCTTAATAATGTTAAAAACTGACTAGGATGATATGAATTGCATCGTGTATGTAAAAGGCTGAATGGTCAAAATAAATCAAGGCATTTCGTTTCACTAGCTGAACTCTTATACAAACGTAATATTGTATTGGCTGTGAAGTACAAATATTATGTAATTAAGTAGAAGGAAAGATAGACGAAAGCATTCATACGCATATCTGTCTGAAAAAAGCTGAAATAGTGGGGATTTAAAATTAAGGGAAAGCGTATAAAAAACAATGCTAATATTATTGTCCTAAAAATCCGTGTATGTTTCAACTCTAATTGAATGTATTCGAGGATTGATTTTGAACTGAAACAGTATGGTTCGAGCGTTTCCTCTGTGAAGAACTCAATGGTCTCAATTCTTTCGATCGTTGTTGTGTTAAAAACAATGCATTATAATCATTATTTATAATATGAAATACTTTGATTATTGATCTCTGTTTTCATTATCTACCTTGTAATCTATAATCTCAGATTGATCTACATGACATTAAAACCATACAAAAACTATTAAGATGAGCTACTAAACAGTTTTTTACTTGACCAAATAACAAAATGCGTGGTCTGGAAAATTCTCGTGACCTCTACACAATATATCGATACAAAGCTAATTTTTTTCAACTCATGTGTTCTAATTATGGAGATTAGAAACTTTATCTAGAGGAGGAGGAGCATTGTAATTTAAACAATGATTAATGAATATAACTATGATCGATAGATATAACCATGACTAACAGTTATAACTGCGGTTGATAGTTATAACTTCAGTTATAACCATTTTAACTTTTTGCCGATTTTCTCAACTTTTAACTTTTCGAAAAATAGTTTTAACCCCCACACTGCTTCTAAGGGAACGGATAGTATCCATCGATGGTGCTAACTCTCTTAATTGAAAGATATTAAATTCAATCTCATGTTTTGTTTAGATTGTATAGACTATCGTATACAAGGATCTTCTCAAGTGATTCGGTAAACTGTGGATTCTAGAAAATTCTAGAATTTTAAGAATAGCTGATTTAATCTCTACCTAAGAAAGCGTATTTTGTCAGAAAAGTAATTGTATTTCACCTTTTAGCACTCTTTGCTATAGTAATTGAAGTTTATTAGAACTCTCATTTTCTACTATTTGTTCTATCGCCAAAATGACGCAATCACTCGTTCTTTTGAAATCACGCATCTTAATGACAAACTTTTTCATTCTGTCTTATTCTTTTTTTCTCAGCATAAGAAAAACAGAAAACTATTTTCTCGCTATTACGCAATCCTTAAACTTGAGTTTTTCGCTCCAGCTTATATTTTTTATATAAAAACTCCTCTAGTTTTGTTTAGGAGTACGACAAAATATTGTACATATAAAACATTGTACATACTTATTTTTGTATTAGATTAGACTTTTACTGGTGAGTCTCTGTTTAATAATTTTATTATATGTTAGAAATCCTTCTCTCATATCTACGCTGGCTAAGAAATTATTGTCCAATGCAAGATTTCGGCATCTTTTTTTACACGCGTTGCCTCAACGATAATAAAAGCAGATAGCATGCTTTCGAAGATGCTTTGTTCGTACCTCCGCATCGTCAGGTCGTTAATCGCCTGTGCCTTATCCGTTATTCATGTCCACGTGTTTCGGAGTGCCCGTTCGATTGCATACTTCTACGTCGTGATGTACCATATAGCTCTTGTGGCTTACCAGAGAATTGGTACATAATCAGTAAATATATATATACCATGCACACAGGTGGTTGGACGAAAGAATTTCGACTCACGAGGGAACCTCTCCAAATGTCCCATCGTTTATTTAATTCCTTTTTCCTTTTCTTTTCTGTAGCTCTGAGGTGGTAATGAACATTTAGGGCTTTTCTTGTAAACTCTATAACTTTGCAAAGAAAGGTCATGTAGAGCTGGGAGATGTCTTATTTTGATAAGAATTTTGCGGGTCACAATCGCGACTTATTTAGAAAAGTTTTGAGAATTTTTCGAGGTTTCTCGAAAACCAGTTTTCTGCTTTTCAGAAACTGGCCAGGAAAGACCTATGGGCCCAAATGGATATCCAGAGGTGCAAGATCTATCCGTGAGATTAAGAAATTTCCCCCGACAGTAAAAGATTACAATAAACTTTCCTCGACATGAAACAAAAGAAAAAACAAAACAATGCGATTTTATTGTTGCTAAAACTACTGTTTCTGTTTAATCACACATGTCTCGTTCTGGTATTTTCTTGACGTAAACGTTTTAATACAATTGAGAATAGTTAGTTTTTGAAAGAACATAAAAAAGGAGATAGTCGTTAAAGGCTAACATAATTCTTCGTTTTTCCAAAATCTTAAAAATTTCCACGAAAAAAATTTTTTTTCCCCTGACGGCCGTCGACGCAAACAGGTAGATTCTGCACCTCTGTGGATATCATATTCGAAATCAGCATGGTCGATTACCTATAACCTACTACATTTCATTAAAAAAACGGGGGGACATCTGGAGAATGCTCTTGTCAGACTACCCTTCTAGTCGGAACTGTGATTGATGATAATTATTAAAGAGATGATTGCAAAGATGTTGCAAAGAAGATATCGGACTACTCGAAAGCGACGAGTCTCTCAAAGATTTGTCAGTATCCTATCTCGGTAACAATAGCTATAGAATGAGATATTCTTTTTCTTCCAAAAGAGACTTCTAACTATATTTTCTCTTAATCTTGATAGAAATATTTTTGCTTTAGACTTTTTCGAATTTGTCTCAATTTATTTTCTCAATAACAAACTTAATGGCTGTTCGTACCCAATTCCAAAGTAGCAATGATATTGGAGTATTTTCTCGCTTAACTAATTCATATTGTCTTGTGGGTATTGGTGGATCAGAAAACTTTTATTCAACATTCGAAAGTGAATTAAGAGATCACATACCAGTTATTCATACATCAATCGGTAACATTCTTTTTTGCTTTTACTCGCGTAATCTATGTTTTATTTTGTGTTTTAGGCGATACTCGTATTGTTGGCCGATTAACTATTGGTAATTGTCATGGCCTACTCGTTCCAAGTTCAACAACTGATCAAGAATTACAACATATTCGAAATTCATTACCAGACTCTGTACGTTTGCGTCGTTGTGAAGAACGTTTATCAGCACTCGGAAATGTTATTGCGTGTAATGATTATGTTGCTTTAATTCATCCTGATTTAGATAAAGAAACTGAGGAATTATTATCTAATACTCT